TAGTAACGTGATCAGACACGTCATCATTCAGGCTTTTTATTCATCTCAGGGCACTTTTGCAAGAACAGGAATTAGGCACGCTGGTTAGATTCGTGCATACAGGCAACATCTATCTGACACACAATTACATTCACAAAGCATTTTCTCTGTGGAAAGTGAGAATTTTCTCTCAGCCTAAGGTTGTGGAGTGTGAGTGGATTTTTTTTTGCATGGTCATGATCAATTAGCTATTCTGGACTTTATAAAGTTCAGAATCGTTTTTTGGGGTTCTTTAATAACCAATACTCAAGTACAAAAAAAAGGCAAATTGAAGTGAATTTTCACTGACCAGAGGCATTTCAATTTCATATACATACACAATTGGTAATTAGGAAATATTAGTCAAATAGTGATCATATAATTTTGGCAAGAAAAAGTGCAAATCACTCACTGCAATTGGCTGGATAACTTTAGTTTGTTATTTTTAGCTTTAATGAGCTGTCTAAAACTGAACATTTACACAAAATTAGGGCTAAACAAGGAAACTGTACAACTCACTTTATTTACAGGCTGGCTTCTCAGTCAGTCGCCGGCAACGCTAAACTAGTATTAATACCTCTAAAAATCAATCAGGGAAAACTGAAAGGTGAAATTCTCTTTTCACCCCTAATAGTCTCTAGTGCTGTGTTCACAGAGATACACAGAGATACAGCTGGCCCTGTATCGATATTGTGGCACGTGTGCAGCAGTGGACCGCGCTTAATCTGAATACAAGGAAGAAAATTACGAGGTTTCTAAAAAATAATGAATAGAGCATAATATATAGGCTACAACAAGGTTTAATCTGGCCACAGAGGAACACAACTGGTTTGCCTGATATAAAGAGACGTAATACCCGAAACAGAGCTTCCCACTTGCGCAATACGGAAATATCTGCTAAGTGTGCTGCTTATCTTTGTCAACCTGGCAATCATGTGCATGCGCTCTCTCTCCACTGTGGATAAACGAGCTTGCTTTCTGAAAACACCGGTTAGTTTAGGGGCGTAAATTTCGTCTAACAGTAGGGGGGGACAATAAACAAAATTTCTCAAGAGCAATTTTTGAAGGGGACACAAATAATACAGCTAAAATTGTACTTGTAAGGATATTTATATACAGAGGAATGGCTTACTACTATTAGTGCAGCAGGGAGACCGCACCAAATTAGACAATTTAAAGCTGTTGTGGTCACGCAGCGACAGAGGTCGTGTCTGTTGTAGACATTACTATCCGTCACAGCGTTGCCAAGTCCGCGGTTTTCCTGTGGAATTGGGCTACTTTATCACTGTTGCCGCGGGTTGTTTTTCATGTCCGAAGCGACCCCAATAACGTCTATTTTAGCCCCCCGAACGCGATTTTTACTGGGGGACCTCCTTGAAACATGGATAGTTTGGGCTAGTTTTGAGTAGCAACTGGGCGGGTTTTGTTATGAAAATCTGGCAACCCTTTCCCTCAAGCAGGTAACGTTATTACTGCTAACATAGCGGACTCATCGAAAAATACATTGGCATCATCTGTATTAAAGAGAAAATAATCACTTCATCCGATGTTTAAGTGAATATAATAGCCTTGACATCCTTACTTACAGGAGTTCCACAACTATTGGCTTTGTTCTCTCTCACCGGACTCGTGTGTGTGTAAGTGATGTAAAAGAGGACAGCAGGCATTTGGACCAAAGCACTGTGAGGCAAGGGAGGGGGAGACTCAATGTTTCTAAACTTAAAACGCATTTTTGCCCCGTTTGTGTTGTTTTACTACTTA